CCCCTTACGTTTTTTTTTTTTGGGCGAAAAATTAAGTTTCTCCAATCTTCCAAAACTCTGGATTCTGATAGAGGGCCATGAGACTTAGACCTGAGTGCAAAAATGGAGGCTCTAGCCCCTTCCAGAGCTGAGATATCGAAACTCAAAAATTCGGCCCGAAAAAAAACGACAGTGGTACCCCTTACGTTTTTTTTTTTTGGCGAAAAATTAAGTTTCTCCAATCTTCCCAAAACTCTGGATTCTGATAGAGGGCCATGAGACTTAGACCTGAGTGCAAAAATGGAGGCTCTAGCCCCTTCCAGAGCTGAGATATCGAAACTCAAAAATTCGGCCCGAAAAAAAAACGACAGTGGTACCCCTTACGTTTTTTTTTTTGGGCGAAAAATTAAGTTTCTCCAATCTTCCCAAAACTCTGGATTCTGATAGAGGGCCATGAGACTTAGACCTGAGTGCAAAAATGGAGGCTCTAGCCCCTTCCAGAGCTGAGATATCGAAACTCAAAAATTCGGCCCGAAAAAAAAACGACAGTGGTACCCCTTACGTTTTTTTTTTTTTGGCGAAAAATTAAGTTTCTCCAATCTTCCAAAACTCTGGATTCTGATAGAGGGCCATGAGACTTAGACCTGAGTGCAAAAATGGAGGCTCTAGCCCCTTCCAGAGCTGAGATATCGAAACTCAAAAATTCGGCCCGAAAAAAAAAACGACAGTGGTACCCTTACGTTTTTTTTTTTTGGGCGAAAAATTAAGTTTCTCCAATCTTCCCAAAACTCTGGATTCTGATAGAGGGCCATGAGACTTAGACCTGAGTGCAAAAATGGAGGCTCTAGCCCCTTCCAGAGCTGAGATATCGAAACTCAAAAATTCGGCCCGAAAAAAAAACGACAGTGGTACCCCTTACGTTTTTTTTTTTGGCGAAAAATTAAGTTTCTCCAATCTTCCAAAACTCTGGATTCTGATAGAGGGCCATGAGACTTAGACCTGAGTGCAAAAATGGAGGCTCTAGCCCCTTTCAGAGCTGAGATATCGAAACTCAAAAATTCGGCCCGAAAAAAAAAACGACAGTGGTACCCCTTACGTTTTTTTTTTTTTGGGCGAAAATTAAGTTTCTCCAATCTTCCAAAACTCTGGATTCTGATAGAGGGCCATGAGACTTAGACCTGAGTGCAAAAATGGAGGCTCTAGCCCCTTCCAGAGCTGAGATATCGAAACTCAAAAATTCGGCCCGAAAAAAAAACGACAGTGGTACCCCTTACGTTTTTTTTTTTTTGGGCGAAAAATTAAGTTTCTCCAATCTTCCCAAAACTCTGGATTCTGATAGAGGGCCATGAGACTTAGACCTGAGTGCAAAAATGGAGGCTCTAGCCCCTTCCAGAGCTGAGATATCGAAACTCAAAAATTCGGCCCGAAAAAAAAACGACAGTGGTACCCCTTACGTTTTTTTTTTTTGGGCGAAAAATTAAGTTTCTCCAATCTTCAAAAAAACTCTGGATTCTGATAGAGGGCCATGAGACTTAGACGTGAGTGCAAAAATGGAGGCTCTAGCCCCTTCCAGAGCTGAGATATCGAAACTCAAAAATTCGGCCCGAAAAAAAAACGACAGTGGTACCCCTTACGTTTTTTTTTTTTTGGCGAAAAATTAAGTTTCTCCAATCTTCCCAAAACTCTGGATTCTGATAGAGGGCCATGAGACTTAGACCTGAGTGCAAAAATGGAGGCTCTAGCCCCTTCCAGAGCTGAGATATCGAAACTCAAAAATTCGGCCCGAAAAAAAAACGACAGTGGTACCCCTTACGTTTTTTTTTTTTGGGCGAAAAATTAAGTTTCTCCAATCTTCCCAAAACTCTGGATTCTGATAGAGGGCCATGAGACTTAGACCTGAGTGCAAAAATGGAGGCTCTAGCCCCTTCCAGAGCTGAGATATCGAAACTCAAAAATTCGGCCCGAAAAAAAAAACGACAGTGGTACCCCTTACGTTTTTTTTTTTGGCGAAAAATTAAGTTTCTCCAATCTTCCAAAACTCTGGATTCTGATAGAGGGCCATGAGACTTAGACCTGAGTGCAAAAATGGAGGCTCTAGCCCCTTTCAGAGCTGAGATATCGAAACTCAAAAATTCGGCCCGAAAAAAAAAACGACAGTGGTACCCCTTACGTTTTTTTTTTTGGGCGAAAAATTAAGTTTCTCCAATCTTCCCAAAACTCTGGATTCTGATAGAGGGCCATGAGACTTAGACCTGAGTGCAAAAATGGAGGCTCTAGCCCCTTCCAGAGCTGAGATATCGAAACTCAAAAATTCGGGCCGAAAAAAAAAACGACAGTGGTACCCCTTACGTTTTTTTTTTTGGCGAAAAATTAAGTTTCTCCAATCTTCCAAAACTCTGGATTCTGATAGAGGGCCATGAGACTTAGACCTGAGTGCAAAAATGGAGGCTCTAGCCCTTCCAGAGCTGAGATATCGAAACTCAAAAATTCGGCCCGAAAAAAAAACGACAGTGGTACCCCTTACGTTTTTTTTTTTTTGGCGAAAAATTAAGTTTCTCCAATCTTCCCAAAACTCTGGATTCTGATAGAGGGCCATGAGACTTAGACCTGAGTGCAAAAATGGAGGCTCTAGCCCCTTCCAGAGCTGAGATATCGAAACTCAAAAATTCGGCCCGAAAAAAAAAACGACAGTGGTACCCCTTACGTTTTTTTTTTTTTGGCGAAAAATTAAGTTTCTCCAATCTTCCCAAAACTCTGGATTCTGATAGAGGGCCATGAGACTTAGACCTGAGTGCAAAAATGGAGGCTCTAGCCCCTTCCAGAGCTGAGATATCGAAACTCAAAAATTCGGCCCGAAAAAAAAAATCACAGTGGTACCCCTTACGTTTTTTTTTTTTTGGGCGAAAAATTAAGTTTCTCCGATCTTCCCAAAACTCTGGATTCTGATAGAGGGCCATGAGACTTAGACCTGAGTGCAAAAATGGAGGCTCTAGCCCCTTCCAGAGCTGAGATATCGAAACTCAAAAATTCGGCCCGAAAAAAAAACGACAGTGGTACCCCTTACGTTTTTTTTTTTTGGGCGAAAAATTAAGTTTCTCCAATCTTCCCAAAACTCTGGATTCTGATAGAGGGCCATGAGACTTAGACCTGAGTGCAAAAATGGAGGCTCTAGCCCCTTCCAGAGCTGAGATATCGAAACTCAAAAATTCGGCCCGAAAAAAAAACGACAGTGGTACCCCTTACGTTTTTTTTTTGGGCGAAAAATGAAGTTTCTCCAATCTTCCCAAAACTCTGGATTCTGATAGAGGGCCATGAGACTTAGACCTGAGTGCAAAAATGGAGGCTCTAGCCCCTTCCAGAGCTGAGATATCGAAACTCAAAAATTCGGCCCGAAAAAAAAAACGACAGTGGTACCCTTACGTTTTTTTTTTTGGGCGAAAAATTAAGTTTCTCCAATCTTCCAAAACTCTGGATTCTGATAGAGGGCCATGAGACTTAGACCTGAGTGCAAAAATGGAGGCTCTAGCCCCTTCCAGAGCTGAGATATCGAAACTCAAAAATTCGGCCCGAAAAAAAAAACGACAGTGGTACCCCTTACGTTTTTTTTTTTTGGGCGAAAAATTAAGTTTCTCCACTTTCCCAAAACTCTGGATTCTGATAGAGGGCCATGAGACTTAGACATGAGTGCAAAAATGGAGGCTCTAGCCCTTCCAGAGCTGAGATATCGAAACTCAAAAATTCGGCCCGAAAAAAAAACGACAGTGGTACCCTTACGTTTTTTTTGGGGGGGCGAAAAATTAAGTTTCTCCAATCTTCCCAAAACTCTGGATTCTGATAGAGGGCCATGAGACTTAGACCTGAGTGCAAAAATGGAGGCTCTAGCCCCTTCCAGAGCTGAGATATCGAAACTCAAAAATTCGGCCCGAAAAAAAAACGACAGTGGTACCCCTTACGTTTTTTTTTTTTTTTGAGTTTCGATATCTCAGCTCTGGAAGGGGCTAGAGCCTCAATTTTTGCACTCAGGTCTAAGTCTCATGGCCCTCTATCAGAATCCAGAGTTTTGGGAAGATTGGAGAACTAATTTTCGCGCCAAAAAAAAAAAAAACGTAAGGGGTACCCTGTACGTTTTTTTTTTCGGGCCGAATTTTTGAGTTTCGATATCTCAGCTCTGGAAGGGGCTAGAGCCTCCATTTTTGCACTCAGGTCTAAGTCTCATGGCCCTCTATCAGAATCCAGAGTTTTGGAAGATTGGAGAAACTTAATTTTTCGCCCCAAAAAAAAAAAAACGTAGGGGTACCACTGTCGTTTTTTTTTCGGGCCGAATTTTTGAGTTTCGATATCTCAGCTCTGGAAGGGGCTAGAGCCTCCATTTTTGCACTCAGGTCTAAGTCTCATGGCCCTCTATCAGAATCCAGAGTTTTGGGAAGATTGGAGAAACTTTTTTTTTCGCCCAAAAAAAAAAAACGTAAGGGTACCACTGTCGTTTTTTTTTTCGGGCCGAATTTTTGAGTTTCGATATCTCAGCTCTGGAAGGGGCTAGAGCCTCCATTTTTGCACTCAGGTCTAAGTCTCATGGCCCTCTATCAGAATCCAGAGTTTTGGGAAGATTGGAGAAACTTAATTTTTCGCCCAAAAAAAAAAAAAAAAAAAACCGTAAGGGGTACCACTGTCGTTTTTTTTTTTTCGGGCCGAATTTTTGAGTTTCGATATCTCTGCTCTGGAAGGGGCTACAGTGTCCCCATCACTTTAGGAGCCACACAGACCACAGGGTGATCGCCCCCTACTGGCCTCACTAACAGCTCTTCCAGCAGTAACCTTGTTTTCCCAGAAGTCTCCCATCCAGGTACTAACCAGGCTCAAACCTGCTTAGCTTCAGTGGGCAACAGGTCTTGGCTACAGGCTGATGTACCTATATATATATATATATATATACACACACACAAATACACACACACACACAGGATGACTGGACTTAAAAGGTCATTTAAATCAGACGCAGCTCCAATAAAAAAACAAAACCATAATCTTAAAAAAAAATCTTTTATTTACAGCCTGAAAGTTCAGAGGTATTTACAATGCTATTTATATCACAACTGTAAACCAGAAATTAACGCTTCACTAGATTACAAATATGCAAAATGCAAATGAGTCTGTCATGCTGCACACAATGAAAACAACACACTGGTGACATTTGAGGCCAGTTGAATGAAATTATGCTAACAAATGATGACTGTAGACATTTGGAAAATGAAAAATCAAACAAATTGGTAAAATATATCCAGCTGTATATGAGGTTTTGCTTAAGAAAGGACCTGTGTAGCATTTTATGTTGCCACTCAGATCTCCACAATCACAGAGACAAGATGAATTGACGCAGACAACATACTTTCATACCTTTCAAGCTGTTCAGGTGGACAAACTCATGTTAATGTGGACACATCACATAACACACACACACTCACTCAGTCAGAGTCACTGCTGCTGCTGGAGGAATCTGTTGACATGGCCTCAACATCATCTTCATTTTCTTTGTTATGACCTGGTGGCTCCAGCCCAAAATCGTTGCCATGGTGAGGAGGCAGAATCCCCATGGAAACATCAGTGGACTGCCAAGGATACTGTGGGGTTAGTACATCTAAAAGCAAAAGGAGAAATATACATTAACAAAAAAATACATAATCACACACACATTATAATACGTTTATAGCCCCTTTCACACAGAGCGCTGATCCCAGAAAATTTCCATTGAACTGCTGAAGTGAATGCAAACACATCCCGGGATTGATCCAGTGATGGGGACCTAGTGACATCGCTGGAATCAGTCCAGCAACATGGCCTGCATGAACAAAAGACAGGGCTAAAGCCGTACGGGGTGTGTCGTAGTGATGACACACGTGTTTGTGTTTGTCATCACATGTCTTTATGGGATGTGTGTGAATGCATCCACAGGTTCCAGAAAATCCCTGGCAGTGTGAATGAACCAAAATTAAAAGATCCTGCAACACATTATCTGTAATCTCTGTGCGAAATGGGCTCATGATAAAGACAACTAAGAAGAGAAGAGAGCATGGACAGATGAATCAAACATCTGAACAGAAGAAAAAAACCTGCCTGGTAACCTCCCAGCAGCCAATGCATCTCCAGGCAGGTGTCCATTCACTCCATTGGTGGACATGTTGCTGATGTTACCCAACATTCCACTGCGCATCTCCAGATCAGTGGGGTACGGCCTGCGGGGGTCACCTACACACACATCACATGAGATTACAGATACAATCAGACATCAGCCAATCAAGTCATTGGAAATGTTTCAGAATAAATCAAGTCAGATAGGAATGACAGGAATGGAAAAACATGATGCAGAAGGAAGTAGTAGTCTGTTTACCTGGAACCCAGTTCAGAGGAGCACAAACTGCATTACTGGCACTGATCCTGTGAGCGTACTTGATGATCTCCTCTGAAGAGATACTCCCTAATCAAAACAAACAGAACAACCAAAAAAAAAAAAAAAAGAAGAAGAAACATTGAGGAAATTGTGTACATAAATGTACAAGTAGATACTGTGGTATATCGAGTAAATATAAAGTAAAACAAAAACTACAATTACTTGCATTTCAGTCTTATAACTATCAATTCTACAGATAATGATCACATACACTGGAATATAAGTCACATTTTTTATTATCTGAAACATGCTGCAACTTCAATTCTAAAGCAACTTATATAACACAATTAATGTCAAGCAAACAAAACATGTGCAAAGCAATCACATTTTGATTTGTGCTGAATAAGAGGTACATGGCCCTTAGATTATTTGTATAGCACATTTACTAATTGTCAGCAGTTTTAGTTTTGCTTTTAATACATTTGTTTAAGCTTGCTGTATATAATTATATTGTTGCTTATAATGAATGCCAATATAGTTTATGTTTTATTCTTATATTCTTCCATCCTGTTCTGTTCTAAATACAATCAAACTTAAAGGATTTGTTGTGGAGTCAGGGGAAACTAATAAAATACATGTTTATAATGTTCCTAAATGTTTTGTTTTATTATTACAGAGTGCAATAAAATGTGACTTACAGACCAATGCGACTTTTTTTTTTGTCTCTCAACAATGCAATTTATTTTGACCCAGTGCAACTTATTTTGTGTAACAAATAATACCTTTTCTGGCCTTTTCAATAGACTTCAGTTTCTCTTTTGCTTGATAGACAGCAGTAGCCTGATGATGAATGAAAAACATAATTATTATCTCAGGCTCATAAATATAAAACATGTTTTATACAAAAAAAGAAAAAAAAGATTGGATGAGTTGCACTTTATTATAAGTTGTCTTTGTTACGGTGTAAATACACAAACAAGTAACATTACAACAATATTAATTAGCAATGTGTACTAATTATATGGTTAGTTTCTTGTAATTAAGTATACTTTACTGTTATTTCTAATAGTTCATAGATGAATGATGTATAACCAGGATACTTAAAATTGTTCAAGAATGTGAGTTAAATCAAAATGCATTTCAAATGACGAATGATGTTTGTGAGTGCCTCAAATCAAATGATTCATATCAGTCACCAGTATGTGCTCAGCCTCTTTGAGTTGTTTCTGGAGCTGCTGGATATCACTGTCTCTCTTTTCGACTTCCTTCTCCAGCGTCTGCATCTCCTGGTGAACTCTGCCCTGCTCCATCGCCGTCTGCATCAGCTCCTGGAACTCTTTATCTTTCTGCACTAACAGCTCCAGTATCTGTTCACAGAATCAGCAGCATACAGTCACTGCCATCTAATAGTCAAGCAAGCATATAGTAATTCATCATTTTAATACTGACTCTAATTAATTGTTTTAGCAAATGTAATTGAATTTCAGTTACTTTAAAGCATGCAATCTCAGTCATTGATTGAGTGTTGTCTCTGTATGTATAAACAGTGTCTCTCACCTGTGTGTCCTCTCCGGGCTGGGGCAGTTTCTGTGACCTGGACAGTGCTAGCATCTCTATCAACTCTCTACAACAGAAACAAGAAAATATATATAAAACAATAAATAAATAAAAACGAAAGATGAGCCGTGTGTGCACAGTAGTATTATTATCAGTAAAAACAGTAGGCTGGGGTAGACAAGAGAGAGTGGGACTTTATTTATTCATTAATCGTTATTCATTAATCGCTAACGTTAAACCAGAAACTGTTAACAGAATCACTGGAAATCTCATGAATGATGAATTCTTCATCTAAATGTGCAATATATATAACGACAAACCTGGATAAAACTTCAATATCATCCAGAGTAGATAAAAGCTTTTCTTTCGTGGGCTTCTCTGCCGCCGCCATGTTTCTCATTCCTTGCGCATGCGTGAGAACCGAGAAACCAAAAAGAAACGCATGTGTCAGACAGTGACACCTGTTGGCAGTAAGACCAAAATGACCAAAATAGCTCGATAAGAATATTTGCATTATTATTATTATTATTATTATTATTATTATTATTATTATTATTATTATTATTATTATTATTATTATTATTATTATTATCATACAGTTGTATCCTTACTTAAGTAACTATAAAATAATATAATAATATAATAATTTAAATGTAGCTTAATTCAAAGCTTGTTTTGTCTTATTTTAAATAATTTCAAGTCATCTTGGACATATGAGATGCATGGCTTCCATGCAAACTATTCTATTTGTTAGTTGTTGTTGTTGTTGTTGTTACAATTGCTGCATTATCTATTCTATTCCACATTTACAAATAACGAAAGGTAGTAATAACTTCTAGTAAGTATTTCTGTTGTTTCCAGGTGTTGTAGTTGATTTTAGTTGTCACTAGAGGCAGCGCGGGAGCCTCTGTTGTGATAGGTCATGTGCGTCACACACAAACATTGCTGCTGATCAGGAAACTAAACGCTCTCTGAGTTTTGTCTCACTTCTCTTTCGCTTTCACGGAAATAACAACTTACAGAGACTCTTCACTATGGTTAAAGTTTCTTTTAACAAGGCTCTTGCCCTAAAGGATCCGAAGAAGGAAAGCCTCATTCCTGATGTGCAGGTAGGTTATTAACAAATATTGTTCACTTTTTTTTTTAAATTATACGTCCAAAATTATACGTCCAATAATGTCTTAATTATTTTAATAGAAAAGTCTAGTAATGTGTGCACGTTGTTCCTATCTTGAGAGAAGTTGGCTAGAGTTATATCAAATGCAGAATAGTGTTTCTTTGTTTAAGTAACGTTATGTTTTAACAGACTTTGATCAGTTCATAGTGTTAACGTTATATAAAATGGCTGACGACCCAAAGCTTGTCAAAATGGATATAACCCATCCTATTATTTTATAGTATTATATTATTTATATTACCTATCTGTATGCTGATAGCTTTCATTGTATTTCAATGACAAACTGTGCCCTTTCAAATAAGGAAGTTACAGAGGGTAGTTAAAGTCATTTTTTTGTGTGTACTAAGGGCCAAATATCTGAAAATGTCCTCACAAACACAACCCATTTTAAATCGATTTATTTAGACTGTCCACAAAAGTAATCAAATCAAGGGACTATGGGCAAGTGCTCAGGGCCCTCAAAATAAGAAAAACCCAGAAAAAATGTAGATGGATAAAGGCATTTCATTCGACCATTTGTGCCCTAGCTGCACAGACGTCACATTGTATTGTGCCATCCCTGCAAACAAGCCTGCACTGGCCCTGTCCGGGCCCACTTAGGGCTAGCCTAAGGGCCCCCTGCAGGCTGCTAGCGCAGGGCCCATGAGAATTTGCTCATTGGCAAAACGTTGGGCCTGCATGGGCAGCCCTCACTTAGCCCTCACTAAACCCACACAGGGCCCGCACACTGGGCCCACAAAACGTTGGCCCTGCATGGGCAGCCCTCACTTAGCCCCAAGGAAGCCCTCACTAAGCCCACACAGGGCCCGCACCGCACACACAGGGCATCTACAACAATAGATCTAGTTCACAATTAATCTGTTTCACTATAAATACTTTTTGGCTAATATAACTATAAGTCTTTGGGAAAAACAATTATTCTATACATCTGAATGCAGTCACCACATAACTAATTTCTGTATTTTCACAAATGTACAGAAGTCAAAGGGATTTCAAATCAATGTATTTATTAATTACAAAACATAAAACATTAAATTCAGGTTATTATATATAATATAATTACACTATTATATATTCACATAAAAAACAGAAACATAGAAAACAGCTGTTTTACATTATGATAAAATTTCACAATATTACTGTTTTTTGTTGTTGTTTTTTTTAAATAAATGCAAATAAATGCAAGCTTAATAATTAGAATAGACTTCTTCCAAAATGTTTCCAAATTTTTTACCTGTATACTGTATATGATTTTATACAAAATAAATAGTAGTTAATAAGATTGACACTGTATTATATCTAGTAATATTGAAGCTAAACAGAGTCCCTATAACAGTGCAATTTGTAGATTTTTAGTCTTCGAGAAAATGTTTTATGAGTTGCAAACCTCTTTTTCTTTGCTTTCTCTCTCTCACAAACACAACACATCAGTTACACAAAACATCAGTTAAATTCTTCATTGCAGGTGCACAAATCCTATTCTAAAAATTACCAAACTCATAGGGTCATATTTTTGTTGATAAACAGTAACATTTTGGCCAATTATGCACATTTCTTGGTGTATAATTTTGTGAATCATCTATACTGTTTGGCTATTCTCATGTGGTCACACTTCACTTTTCATTCACAGTCACATATGCTCAAACCCCGTGTGGCCGTGCCTTAAATGTCAGCATACATTTCTTACAGGGCTGTGCAAAAGTTAATTGCGATTAATCGCATTCAAAATAAAAGTCTGTGTTTACATAATATATTTGTGTGTGCTGTATATAATTATTTTGTATTAGGGCTGTGAAACGATTAATCGCATCCAAAATAAAAGTTTGTGTTCACATAAATTATATTCGTTTGTGTAGTGTGTATAATTATTTTGTATATATAAATACACACACATGCATGTATATATTTAAGAAATATTTGCATGTTTGTACTGTATATATGTTTATACAAAATTAATATTATACATAAATATAAACCTTTGATATATCAATAACACATTTTTCTTAAATATATACATGCATATGTGTGTATTTATATATACAAAATAATTATACAGACATATATCATGTAAACACAAACTTTTATTTTTGATGCAATTAATCGTTACACAGCCCTATATTGTATATATAAATACACACACATGCATGTATATATTTAAGAAAATGTGTTATTCATATATAAAATATTTATATTTATATAATATAGATTATGTATTCATATATATATATATATATATATACACAGAATTTAAGTGCAAATAATTCTTAAATATATACATGCATGCATAGGTATTTATATATACAAAATAATTATATACAGCACACACAAATATATTATGTAAACACAGACTTTTATTTTGGATGCGATTAATTGCAATTAATTTTTGCACAGCCCTTTTTGTGATTTGAAAAAAAGAAAATTATTTGTACACCTCCAATGAAGAATTTGAAAAGCTGTAACTGCAGTGTTTTTTGTGAAAGAGAAAAAAGTTTGAAACTTAAAAAAAAAAAAAGTTCTCTCTGTGACTACTTTACACCTGACTACTTTTAACTGACTACGTTACACCTACAGATTCCACTGTCACAGGTGCTCTGTTTTGCTATAATGAAACCTTTACAGAACATGATAGTAATCCGCCATCCATGTAAAAGCAGAGGTCGGTGTGGTGTACAGGTACATCTGTCCAGCCAACATCTCACGCCTTGATGCCTTCCACTGTGGATCCCAGAAAACCTGCAAAAAAAAAAAAAATACAGTTCAAAATCTATCATACATAATCATACATCTGGTATCACAAATTATTCCAGGTTATTATAACAATTCCAGGTTCAATCAGGTTAAATGCTCAATATTAGAGCTGCACAATACTAAAAACCTTAAATAAAATATTATGTTTATCTGCTGCTATATATATTGCGATATAAAAACAAATTTCAAGAGATTATTGAGTGAATCTGCATTGAAAATTATAACAAATTACAAGTATTGATAAATTCAATAGAAGAAAAATACAATTGAAATAAGCAGTGCATGAAGTTTTTTCGGAAAATCTAACTTATCAGGTACGGAAATTGAATTATCTAATGTAAAATAAGTCTTCACTGAGGTACAGCCTCTCTCTACTCTTACAAAATGACAAACAACCAGCCTGAAAAACACATGACAATGACACAAGATAATGTCTATAATAAATAGTGTGTGTGTAATTTCTTCAGTACCGTCAGCAGAACTGATAACATCTGAGCTTATCGATACTGCAGTCTTCCTTAATTTGGCCCCAGGGCCCGTTTAATGTTTAATACCGGGTTTCGGAACCTATTCCTACATATGGGTGAGTTCATATGGATGAAGGCCTGTTGTGTTTGGCCTCTTGGTTTGTGATGGTGATATAGCTATTGTGAAACTCACCTTCGTCATGTACTGGGTGTGGATGGCATCAAGATCTTGTCCTGAAGAATCACAGGATCAAATGATATCTCATCTGGTAACAAGAGCACAGCCATAACCCCCTGAATTCAGCATTTGAAAGTAAAAAGAATTTCAGTATTTATCAGTCAAACATACATAAAAAAATAGCTTTGAGTTGGACAGTATGGTGTCTCATTGGCCAACATAATTAAACACACCCAGAAAAAAAAAAATATATATATATATATATATATATATATATATATATATATATATATATATATACTGTATATATATATATATATATATATACCCATGACTATTATCCTGAATTATTATAACTATGACTATTATAACATTATATTTGCCACCTATTATTTAGCTTCTCAAGTACAATGTCACTGAAAAAAACTGTAGTTAATGAATTTAAAGTGAGAGACTTCATTCAAAATCATAAATCCTACAGACCCACAACAATTAAACAGTATTGTATGAAGTTTTGCTTACTATAGTCGAGGTCATAGCCGTGGAGATTGTCTTGGACCCCAGGGGGTGCAGCAGGACATCTATGATGATCTTCAAGAAAATAACATGCAATGTGTCACAGAGCCAACAATATTACATTGAATTTACAATAGAACAAAGGGTTTAATACAAGGAAGCAAGCTAGAGCATAGCTAAAGAATATACATAAAAAATCTTAAGGTAATATATTGTGCAATAATGCATATGAAATAATTATCATGATTAAACAATAATTCCCCTTTGTTGTGTTTTTTTCCTGTTCCTTCTGAAATCACTTATTACCAATATTTGTAAATGACGTCATTAAGTACGTTACAATGAATTCTTTCAAGGTTAAATAAATTAACTTAGCTAACTTCCAATCACCCATTGACAAATTACCAGCAAAACAAAACTATCAAAAACTGTTATCAACACAAAAATGTGGTTAAAAACCCACACTTATGTAAAACAAGAGCTCAATTGTAACGTAAACAACTTAACGTTAGCTCTTCTGAAAACGGTTCAGTCAGATGCTAACGGACTTTATCGAAGACACAAAACTATTTCTATAAAGTAAATATTCAACAGAAGTGTATCAATTACACGTAAGACATATATCAGGAAGGTTTGTATGTATTATTTGTGTGATTTTGGTAACTAGACTTACCTGAAAGCAGAGAAAACAACAGTGAGAGACGCTAGTTTGCTGTTTGTCAGTTGATGGGTTTCCTCGTTTCCATGGTTTCCATCTGCTCGCGCGCGCTCCTGTCTTTGAATCAGATTTGAATGCGACTCGCGCACGTACGCCCATATTGAAACCATAGAACACGTCAAAAGGCACGCAGCATTTAAATAAACATCTAGAATTATAACATTTAACAATTTAAAATATCTTTAATTTTATATAATGAATTTAAACTCATTGTGTAGTTCTATGACCCATTCAGTTGACAATTATGCTTTTTAATACCATTTTGCTTTTACTTTTATTGTAAAGCAATTTCATGACATCTGTATTATATAAAGGCCTACATGTAATATAAAGAGCAACGTGTAATATAAATATGTAACATAAAGTGTGGAATGAAACTGCAACAGGCCCGTAATTTCATTACCATCTTTATATAAAGAGTGCTTTCTTATTCTCTTATATATATATATATATATATATATCTTAAAAAAAATAAAACATTTTTAAACAATTTAAATATATATATATATATATATATTTAAATTGTTTAAAAAAAATTTTTTAAGAGAATTAAAATTACCAAGTTATTAGTGCTTTCTTATTCTCTTTATATATATATATATATATATATATATATATATATATATATATTATTAGTGCTTTCTTATTCTCTTAATATATATATATATATATATATATATTTTTTTTTTTTTAAGAGAACTAAAATTACCAAGTTATTTTGATTAGAGGACGTACTGACGACATTGTGGGCATGTGGGCAAATCTAAATGTGGGCTACCTAAACTAAACCCGCATGGGCCCAAAGGTGCAAAACCTGCTCATGGGCCCGAATGGGATGGCCCACAGTGGGCCATCATGGGCTTAATGTGGGCAGCCCGCTAGTGTGGGCTGCTCACTGATAGCCCGCAGTGAGCCCAAAGCTGTGGGCCTCGTCTGGGCAACCCGCACTGGGCCTGTTTAGGTTTGGCGTGGGCTGGCCCTAGCCCACTGTGCCCACAAAAAGCCAGCGTCGGCCCCGCAGGGGCATGTTTGCAGGGATCTCAAGTGAGATTTCAATCCGAATTTAGTGAGATTTCAATCCGAAGGGATTGAATATTCAGTCTGAGAGCACGTGACCAATAGACCACTTAGCAGGAAGTGTAGAGAATTTACACGTTAAACATGACTACAGACGTTTATCACTTAGTTTCAATATATCTTAATTAAATGGATAATAACTAAAGTAAATAACGATGGATGAAATAAACATCCATTTGTATATTAAATGAAAGTGTGGTTTATATTATATTACAGATGTAGACTATATTGCACTCTAAAAATTTTTACAAAAGCGGGGTTTTCGCAGCTTTGCCATGGAAGTGAATTCAGTGAATCTTGTGTGTGTGTCTTTTCCACTATGAAGAACCTTTTGCAATTGTATGTTAATTTCTTTGTGGAATCATCAATGCAAAAAAAAAAAAAAAAAAAACCTTTATTTGTCATCATACTTCTAAAATATATGCAACGCTCAAATGTGATATTTAGAAGAAAGGTTCATCAACTGAAATTTGCGATTAGGGAGGGAAGGAAAGAAAATTAATCAGTCACTATTGAATTAATCAGTAATGACACTGAAAAAAAAAATAATAATCTTCAAATGTCTCAGTGGTGGTAGCCCAAGACGTGTTTGTTTTGTAAGTTTGAAGCAGTAAGCATAGTTGAATTTATTATAATGGGATTCTTCCAGACATAGTTTAGCTGTGTTTTTCACAGCACACATTAGAAATGCCTTGCACTCAGTTGTACCAGGAGACTTTTCATGGGTTGTGAAAGACAGACTTGTTGAGGCATGTTTGATATGTGCACTCTCAAACATGTTTATGATAATGACTGTATTGCAAAAGGAGTAAGTTTCTAGAAGCTTTACAAAGATTCACATTCACAACTTCCTGGTTAAGACCATCCAACATCTGCCTTACTCAATAAAGGGTCTGTGTGGTTTTGTTAATGTGCAAAAAGTCTAAAAACTGGTTTTGCTTTTGCACTAAAAGATATTGAATGAGGATAAACTATTTGTAAGTTGAGTAGAGCACTTTGAAACGATTAATTGGGGCAGTATCTCACTCCTGAACATGTTGTCAGTCTCTCTTTAGATAGTCACTTGAATTCCCCTTCTGCTCTTTAAATGGAAACAACTTGTTTCACTTTTTCTTTTGATTCATGTGTGAGCTTCTGCAGTTATTGTTTGAGTGAGGAAGTGTTATTAAATGTTGCTGACTATTCCTCCTCGTGACTTTGCAGAAGTTGACTGTTTTAACACATTTGACTTGAAACCGAATTTCCTCATATCTTCATTAGTCATAATTTCTGTTTAAAATGTATCTAACAGTGTATCTCAAGGCAATCTGCTGTCTGGATTGAAGGTTTAGGGTACAGGAAGGTCAGGCCCTGTATCGACATGTTGCCCTTTGCTGTTTACAGTACAGTGCATAAAATCTGGGATTTTTTTTTTAAATGCACCTCCTTCAAATAGGTAAATTCATATTTTTTCCTTTAGTTTTGTGAAAATCACCCTTTTTCTAAGAAACCACTTTATTCCTCTTGTTAACCTGTCCTTGTGGTTTACGTTTTGTTTATTTCGCTCATCAAGGTTGCATTTATTTGATCAAAAATGTAGTAGTAAAACAGTAATATTGTGAAATATTAATACAACTTTTCTATTTTAATGATGTATTTTGATGTATTCATGTGATGTCAAAGCTGAATTTTTACTAGCCGCTCCAGTCTTCAGTGTCACATTAATCTATCAGAAATCATTCTAACATGCTGATTTGGTGCTCAAAAAATTTGCACATTTCTTCTTATCAATGTCGAAAATTTCTTGTTGGTTGATATTTTTGTGAAACAATTCTGGATTCTTTGATGAAAAGAAAGTTCAAAAGAACAGCATTTATTTGAATCCTTGCTGAATCTAGTAAAACAAATAGTAGATTTGGATGGTAGTGTGTGTGTATCTAGACTAGAGTTATTAAGTGTTGTTAACCATCATTATACTGTGTGATTTGTCCGGTAGGATGCTGAAGCAGCGGTGTGGGTGCGTCAACAGTCTAAGGTGTGGTGCTGGTGCTTCTGTCTGGGATTGGCTCTCATGCTCTCTGGCTTAGTGGTGGGAGGAGCCTACCTGTATAGATACTACGTGGTCGAGGTGAGATAATTGCTTTAACCATGGTAATATCCAAAACAAAACTTAACATCCTGTCGTCTTGTGTCACTATTTATCTTTATTTTGATTCGTTTTTATATTTATGTCATAATCAGTCTAAGCCTGTTTCATAAAGCAGTTCTCAACCATGATACAACCCAGACTACATGTTTCTGAGATGATACAAGCCACCCAGTTTACATTACATGGTGGCAACTTCTAAGAAACAAGTTTTGTTCCAAAACAAGGCAGAATGCTTCAAACTAGAAATCAACCGATAATCAGTTTTAGCAATATTTTTTCCGATATTTAAGCATTTTCTCATAATCGGTTATCGATTTTGTAAAATTGGATTTACCGATAAATGGCACCATCTTGTAGCCGTGTGAGAATTAAAGCCATTGCAGCATTGTGTCTGAGAGGAGATGAGTCAACAACAGTGTTCAAAGGTAAAATAACTTGTCTCCATCTATTAATAAACTGTATTTAAAGTAACAGCCATCAATGCACAAATGAGATGTGTAACTTAAATGCTTCATATGTAGTTTAAACTTGCCGCTAAAAAATAGAGATGAACTCACGGAATCGGTCAAGTCCCTGTCCCAATAAAGATGCATAAAGGAGTTTACATTAATTAAATAAAACAGCCATGAATGAGTGCATGTTTTAAAATAAAGCACTGAATTTAATTCTCTCTCTCTTGTCTATGCTCATCATTAGTCTTGTGAAGTCGTTCAGGTTAATGCTCCAGCATAGCCATTGGCCACCGTATGCAGCTTAACAAAATCAATTTTGAGAAGAAGTTCTGGATAAACGCACAGATTAAAAACAGCGCTCAGTCAGCTGATACTTCATAATCTAGGCCGATTATTAATAATTTTAAAACAATTTTAAACCTTTTAAAACAAATACTTCTATTCATGCGTATTATATTTATGGAGAGTTAATAGATTCCTCTGTCATTTATTAATGTTCTCCATTTGAAACCATTACATTTTGTAATGTAAATGTGTTTTACCTGTTGTTAATATGATTGCTATTGTTATAAATAAAAAGATGCAACTAGGATAATTAAGATACAATAAAGTTGTAGTGGTTTTTTTTTCAGGCAGTTTAGATACATACTATAATTGTGACCATATTTTTTTCAGATTTCAGACTCCATTTATTGATGTATTTTTGTTTTGTATGTTAGAAGGCAGTGAAATTTCAGAAATTACAATATTTAAAAAGTGTTAATTATAAAACAAGTTTGTTTAGTTCAGTGTTGTTGTTAGAATTGTTTAAATAATAGCTTTTATTTCGTTTTAGTCATGCCAATTTTTTTGACCTGTTTAGTCAAGTTTTAGTCAATTAAATGTCTGGGAATTTTAATCTAGTTTTAGTCAATGAAAACTTAGACACACTTTCATCACTGTATAATGGTTAATCAGATTTTTTTGCACTTAAAACTTAAAAGCACTTAAAAGCACAAACTCATATGCATGGTTTATTTGACCTCATCTAGTTTCCTGATTTATTATAGGCTATTTATCATATAAATATAACACTCTCTACATTATGAAAACTGGTAAAACAAAAAAATCTTTCAAAATCTAGCTAAAGCAGTGTAATCCCTTATAATAATTGTAATAATTCTAAAATACATGAATGTTTTTTTCTATTAACTAGCCTAAGAAAATGAACGAACATGCATAGCCACATCTCATTGAAAATGTTTCATTTAAATATTTAATGTTTGAATGGCTGTGATGTCCACTGCTTTGCACCAAATCATTTGCACGCTCGTCTTTTTATTTTCTTTCTTTTATCTATCTGAAGCGATTGCAACAATATTGAAATCTGCAGTCTCTGTGGTGAGTGTGAAAGTCTCCTGCGATTGCCGCCTGTTCACTGTACAGTACAATCTTGACGTGTACCAGCGGCTTTGATGCGATTATCAAGTAAACTCGCTCGCAATGTGTGCAATGGCTCACGACCTCCCAAGTGTCCACCCAACTTTAGTCATAAAACAGGTCGTCGACTAACATTTGTCATCGTAGGTTTCATTGAATTCATTTTTCGATCTTGTGATTGCAAAAATTAATGCAAATTCAACCAATCACCATTATTTGTGGCAGGGAAGTGTATACCCAACCATTCTTGGAAATGTTGATGCAGACATAAACATGCTTGTTTTTTTGTTTTTTTAACTCTATATATGTATTTCTAACCCCACAGGAGGATGAGGTGTTTGCCTATGGGATGAAGTACTTGGATGAAGAGTATGAGTTTGATGAGGAGGTGGAAGTGGAGGTGGAGGTGGGAATGCCGCTGAGGCAGATTGAAGAGAATGTGAGATTTTTCGAAGACGATGAGGTGGAGCTCATCCAAGTGCCAGTACCTGAGTTCAAGGACAGCGATCCAGCTGACATCCTGCACGACTTCAAAATGGTGCAAAAATACACACACACACACACACACACACACACACACAGTGTTCAGCCATAACCTGAAGGGGGAAAAGCAATATTAGCTAATCAAAATTCATAAATCATAAGTAATATCACTATGTGTTCAAATGTCCTGCCACCGTATTTATATTCATTGTAAACTGAGTGGGGATTGGACTGGTTTTCTAAAATGTTCAATATCTTAGATATTAATTTACAAAATGTATTGTTTAGGACATACAGTTAAAGACCCAAAACCAGATACGATGAATGAAGACCCGGAGCAGGAGGCCGTTCTGTTTTACATTTACAAAATTCACAGCAATTATACCCTTCACCAAGGTCTAAGCTGCATTATTACCTTTGGTTGAATGATTCTGATAGGCTAAGAAATGACAGAAGCATACCTCCATCGATCAGAACTGCGTTTCTGGTCACATGCTTGTCTGGAACAACAGTCAGTCAGTCTGCAATAATGCCAGTTGTTCCTTTACTTGTAACCAAATATACTAACATAGACACACAGGTTGGATTTGGTCTGGCTCTAACTATAAACAGTAGACTCTTCCCAAAACATCAAGATAATATGTTCTCTCAGTGAGAGGACACTTTAATATTGAACAGTAAAGTAAACAATTTAACTAAAATTGTTGGAACAATCTAAATTGTTAAAAGCGCTATATAACTTTTAATATCAATTAAACTATTGATTACAATGACCCCTGTGACCTATAGCTGTCAGGGTAAGCTACAAACACAGATATATGTATTGACACATGTTTAGAGGCCTCTCTCAATTCAAACAAAACAAGTCCATATTTCACTCATGAAATCATTCAAAAGGATATATTGTATATTGATATATTGAAGAGACAAGGGACTCCAGAATTTCCCCCTTCAGTACATATTACGTGCAATAATTAATTATATGTTATTTTATCCCAAATCCACAAAAACCTGTTTTCGGAATGAACTGAATGTATCAAATGTGACTTTAAAGACAAATGTCACAAAAGACTTCTTTTACAAATAAATACTTTTCTTTTCAACATTGATAATAAGCACCAAATCAGCGTATTAGAATGATTTCTGAAAGATCATGTGACTCTGAAGACTGAAGTAGTGATGCTGAATAAATGACGTATTAAAATAGAATTAATTTAAAAAAAAGTCATTTTAATTTGTAGTAGTATTTTTTAATATTACTGTTTTTACTGTGTAAATCTTACAGACCCCAAACTACTTGCATAAATACATGATTATTTATGGGTTTTCAATGCTCAGCAACACTAAAATGCTGCAAATATCAGCAGTTTTTTTTTTTTTTTTTTTTGTCAGAAAAAAGTATTTAGACATATTTAGATTATCAATATGTATTTTTCAGTGACCAGTTCTTACATTTTTAGTTCTGGCCCCCCTCAATTATGAATATTTGGTTACATCTTATATTATAATACTAAACTAATGTTGTTAATCTTAAGTGCATCTCTCTGGTTCTATGTGAATAAGCCTGTATGTCATTCTTTGCTGTCAGAGGCTGACTGCTTATCTCGACCTGAATCTGAACAAATGCTACATCATCGCCCTGAACACCTCTGTTGTCATGCCACCCAGACATTTCCATGAGTTCCTGGTCAACATCAAGGTAAACAAGGAGACGCTGTGAATCCATGTCAATAAGTGGTTCTTAATTGTTTTTGCATGAATGTGTTGGTTTTTTTTTTTTTTTTTCACACAAATGCATTTCAGACGTTAAGCCCGGGACACCCGAAACAACGTTCAGCCCTTAGGCAAGTTTGAGCATCAGTTTTTTCGGTGTGTTCCACACTCTGTTTTGGCTGATTCAACCTGTTGAATTGACGTCAGTGCATTCAATGAGAGAGAGAACTCAGACTGGCTGGTGTATGAGAATAAAAGAGAGATAAAAGCAAGTAACGAAGTGAAGTTTTACAAGATCTTACTGTAGCATTCGAATGCACAAAGTTTTCATAATAACATCAGCCGACTAGAATGAAGAAAGTGATCAGCATTATTGATATTCAAAATGATAAGCAAGCGCTGCTGTTTTTGGTTTGTATATCTCTGATCCACTGTAAAAAAAAAAAGGTTGCTGCTTTACATTTTTAAGGTCAATCAACTTGAATGTTTAAGTCATTTCAATTTAAATTACGTTAAACTGAAAAAAAACAATCTTGAATCTTAAATAACTTTAAAAAAAAGTTAAAATTGCTTAACTTATTTTGATGAGTTAAAGCAATGTAAAAACACGCTGCCATTACTTATTGATCATATAATATTTTACAGTGTAGTTTTGGTTTCCCTTTTTGAATGACTATACCTGATAGACTATACCTATACTATACCTTTGTGATAGACTATACCTGTTGATACATCGCCAGTTATCCTTTTTTTTTTATTTTGAAGCACAGATTTTTCAAACTAGAGGCAACAATAGTCATCTTTGGTTGCCGAGAGTTATTTGACATCGCCTCAGTGTGTCCCTGGCTTTAGGTTTACGTTCTCAACTTGTTTTTTTGCAGGCAGGAATGTATCTTCCTCAATCGTACCTGGTGCATGAACAGATGATGGTGACAGAGAAGCTGGACAGCGTCAGTGATCTGGGCTATTACATCTATAACCTGTGCAATGACAAAGACACGTACAGACTACAGCGCAGAGACACCATACTGGGTAAGTGTACGCCAACAAACCGTTGATAAGACTGTGTTTACAGGAAACAGTGGTTATGTCTGTGCATAAATAAGTACTAATATGGGTGAAAAGGACAGTATTTTCTCTCATTATGTTCACTGTACAAGATCATACATTTGAAATATGCTGGCCTGCCATAAACTGAATACATGTAAGATCCAGTTTTACACCATAGCTGTGCATACTTTCAAACTTCTAAAAGCTGAATGTGCTTCACTGCAGGTATGCAGAAGCGTGAGGCTCTAAACTGCCACAAGATCCGCCATTTTGAAAACAAGTTTGTGGTGGAGACTTTGATCTGCGAGCCCTGAAGAACGAGAATCATACATGGGTGTCTCTGACAAAGCAGCAGATCTTCCACACTTTCTTTAATTCAGTGTAGCTGTTTGTTCTTCAGCTTTTCGAGGCCTTTTTTTTTTACATCTAAAATGTGAACTTGTCTTTTCTGCACCAAGAGTTTTTTTTTTTTTTGTCATTTGTGTTATTTTAGGAATATTAAACTTAATAAAGAGTCAATATGTGCACAAGAACAAAAAGGATTAACAATAGCAATTTTAGCGTAGAAATCTAATCAGCATGTCATTATTACCCAAAATGCCATTATTATTGCCATTATTTTGTCTCAAGAAGCTAGTAATACATAAAATAAAGGCCTGGTTTCTGGTTTAATTTAACCCCAGTTTGTGGAACCAAGCCATAATGTCACAATAATGAGGTTTAAGAAATATTTTGTTTTAAATGGGATCAATAACCATACATACAAAGCACTTTCAGTTACATAAATTAATATATCACTTAGACATGCTTAATTTACCACAAACCTGAAATTAGTTTTTGTTCTTTGCTTATTTGTGTATAAGCTGTCTTTAAACAAGATCCTAAACTTTACAATTTTCTGTCTTTAATCATAAGCTCATGAACTCGTCTAAGAAAACAATAAATAACCATGACAAACATTTTCACTATATAAAAAACTATTTTTATAGATGTCTTAAAAGGATCAAAAGTCTATGTAAAGACATCTACAATGTAAAAAAAAAGATGTCTGTTTCAAATAAATGATGGTTGTTTGTTCATTAAAGAATCCTGGAAGAAGTTTCCATGTGTCATGTGATAATGAATGGCTACTAAAAATTCAGCTTTGCTTCACAAGAAATATAGAAATGTAAATATTTTGTGGCATGTATGAGCATTAACATTGAGAAAATGTCATGTAAGTCACATGGCATATCCAGCCAAGCAGAGGTCACTGAGTTACCAGTGAGCCGAACAACTGCCAAACTAACCAAGTGGTACTCACAGCAGCGCCATAGCAGCCTCTCAGACCAACCACTTCCCCTGGGTTTTATGGCATGAAGAGCTGAAATGGTGTCAAATGGAAGAACTCACCCCTCTGGTGGCAAAAGCAAATTCCTGCATTATTTTGAACTAAAAGTTAAGACTTAACAGAATAAAATGAAGACGGCCTGTAAACTTGCATACATCTCCCTAAACATTGTAAGAACTTGCAACAACAAAACTGAAACCTTGTGTACTTAAAGCAAGTTCAAATTACTTTAGCCAAACTGACAGCTGTCACTCAATTCATTGAAAAGGCTGTTTGAAAAGGTGTAATTTATTTGAAGATACTGGACTGAGGATGTGGAAATTTCAGCATTCATAAACAAGTTGGCTGATAATGTTTATGACCTGTAGACTTTGAGGTTTCCTCCAAGATAATATCCGTCAAACCCCCGAACGGCTCGCTTCAGACTGGTTAACCAGAAATGGCTAAATACAAAAAAGTGAGCGTTTGGCTGATTCAATCAGAGGCAGAGTGAACTTTTTCAGCTAGATTTCTTAAAGAACTTCATGTAAATACCTTCTGATGGGGTCCATCACAGTGGAGGCTTTCTTGATGAGACAAGAAGGTGGCAAAAAAAAAAAAAAAAATACGGTCAACATCTCAAGAGGGTCAAGATCATCACTTTTCAAGATCGGCACATTTCTTCATCCGTGAAACCGAAATTCTCTTTCCTCTAAAGCAAAAAAGGCACAGAAGCATGGTATACTGGCTATGTCTGCATTTTGTGGTCACAACATTGGATTTATTTGTACGAGATACAAAAATGTAAACATTGCAAAATAAATAGTTAAAACAAGTGATGCAGGACCTATATTCATGCTCATGATCCCAACATGAACTAATGCACTTGTCTTGCTTGCATTTTCAAGTGCAAAAGCATGATGACAAAAAAAAAATAATAATAATCTAGGATTCAAGTAACAGAAATGACAGACTAATGATACAAATATACTATTTTACAAGGTAGTGATAATTCCCAATTTTACAAAATGTACACTTATAATATTGACAAATTTCTCTTAATATTTTGATATGCTGCTTTTGGGTACAAGTCCGTGTAGAAGCACACAGATCTCAGCACTGAAGTCTTTTTGTTTCTGATGGGCTATGTGACCTCCATGGCGACTGTGGTCTCTGATAATCCGTTGAGAGCCAGCCTCTCTGGTTCGTGATTCTCCCTGGAAGATCAATAAAAATATAGAATTTAAAATTTTCATTTTAAATGCAAAGATATAAGACATTATCGTTCAAAAGTTTGGGATTAGCAAGATTTTGTTTCTTGGGAACAATACTTCAGGGTCCACGAACATTTTTACCAATGTTTTTTCCATGACTTGAGGCAAATATTCACGTTCCATGAAAGTCTATATATATTAACAAAAAAGTAAAATCACATCTAACATTTTTATATAATAATGATTTCACATTTGATCTCCAAATTACTAGAAACAACAGAGACAGTAGCCTTTATTTTAAATATTGGTTTAAATTGCTTTTTTTTTTTGAAAGGCCAGAATTACAAAAAAAAAAACAATATTATATTTTTTTTCTTCTCAAATTTAGCCATTAATTATATAGGTATAATTGAAAGCTATTAATTTTAAAATTTATTAGGCTTTAAAAAACTTTTTTAATTTAAGTAAATAAAAACAATCTTCACATGAACCCATTATAATAAAGGTCACATTTGCCTGTGCCCTTCAATATATCAGGGCTCAATTTTTTCTATTGGCCCAGTCAGACTGGTTCAGATTTTTACTTGCCCTGTCACAAATGCACAAAAATTTTTCACTGTTTTTGACCCATGTAACCTTGCAGTGCTTTAAGAAGTAGGATGCTTTCAAAAAATTAATAAAGTTTTCAAACACTTCACAGTCATCATCCTTAGATAGATTAATCCTTTTTAATGCTACAGAAGTTATTCAGTCAAGAACAATACACATTTCCTCACAACTCTTTACGTTCATTAAAGACTTGGATAAAAATGGGTTTTTGTATGTTCGTGAGCTGTCTAAAGCGGCTTCCTTTGTGCATGAGTTGTGTGTGTCACACAGATTAGCGCCAGCACTGCATTATCTTTTGTGTCTTAATCGAAAAGATTAGCAAAGATTAGAAACATTTGCATGAATAAGAGCGTGATCATATAAATGTAATGCTAGCCAAAGGATGAAGAAAAAAAAAAAATTGCATGCATTAACACATTCATTTTGACAATGGGGTATTTTTTTTTGTGCAATAACTTACAGCACAAGGAAGCTTGATTTCAAATTTTTAACTGACTTTACAAACAGTCATTAAAATAAGAAAAATTATAAAACAGATAGTTCCAGTATTGGATTCTGATTGGTTGAGTCATGTTCAAAGCTGCTGTAAATTACTCTACAAACATATTTTTTGCTACTGTGTGTTTATTTTGTGAATAAAATAAAATATAAAATAAATATTTGTATGGAGTAACCGTAATAAGCCCTGTGAAGCAGTGGTTTATAGTGAATTTAGAACAATCCACGCCGCGCCTCACAACGCCCCCCTTAGCCTAAATTGCAAGCAGTAGCACAAATAAACACAATAGAATAAAGATACAAACTAAAGAGTTCCTAACCGGAGATATATTTAACTCAGTGAAGAAAATACACATACTTTTTGGGGATTTTAATGTTGCGATTTTATTAATCTCAATTTCTCACAACTTGTGTGTTTTCTGGGCGAGTCAGAGTGATTTGCGGCGCTTATAGTCATGAATGTGCAGTCCAGGCCAGGGTATCTGCAGGGTTTTTAAAATCAAATACTACAATTATATATTCAATCCACCAACTGAATAAAAATGTGATTTCACTCCGACAGGAGGTGGTGCTAAAGGAAGAACAGAAATATTACAGTTACAACTCTTACGACTCTGGGCGCCAGAGTCATTGTCAAAACCTCTTGAGGTGTCGTGGGCTAGTCGACGAAACACTGAGGGCGGAAGGTACTGACTTGAAGACCCTAGAGATGTCCCCTACTCTGCTCAATCCAGACAAAATCAACATATGGAAGGCAGCGTAAATGGATGGAGAAGCATAGTTTACTGTAAAGCTATGTCTTAGTTTGTGCTTATCTTGGCGAAATCATAGTACAAATCAGCATGAAGTTTTAACATCTACTCTCGTGTAATGGAAATCATACACATCTCCTTTTGTAGTCCGAAAGTAATAAATAAATATTGATACTTGAATACATTTTCACCCTCCCCCCAAACATTAAAAAAAAAGAAAAAAAAAAAGAAAGAAAAACAAATGTAAAGTGAATAAGTCCTGTTTCAGGTTTCAGACCTGGCGATGTCGATGGCACTAGTGGGGGTGACTTTAGGTACCCGGTCCAGACTGCTAGCAACACTGGCCAGCTTTAAGGCTGAGGGTGAAGGGGCACACAGACGTGCACTGTGGTGTGTGTGGGCAGGAGACACAGCGCTCACTGTACTCAGGTGCCCGTGGCCGTGAGGCAGAGACTGAGGGACGGGCAGCTGAAGGCCAGATGCACTCGTCATCCGTACTAAAGAGCCTGACTCGCCACCACCTGCAGAACGGTTCAATTTGGCTTGTCTAAAACTTCCTGCAAGAGACAAAAATGATGATTCCCCAATAAGTTCTATAATGCAGTTTATTTTTAATTATATTTATTTTAATATATAACTGGCATATTTAAAGATTTAATATCTTTATAATAATATAATATCTATTTTTCAATGCCTCTGCTCAATTCTTAATGAGCTGCACATACCTGAATTAGAAAGGATGCCATTGACACTTGCAACCTGGGGCCTATTTTCATTGTTGGGAGTGTTGACCACAGCAGAGGCAGCAAAGTGTGCACTAGCCGAGTCAAGAGTCTTAGACATGCACTCAGATGAGGTCGTGTTCTGTAAAAGAAATTATGTTTTACTTCCTAAATAAATACAACATGAATGACTTCGTAATTATTATAGAATAGAGTAAGAATGAGCATTAGCGCCATAATGCCTGACGTTGTGTGGATATACTCACGGGCAGGGGCTTGTGGGGTTCTGGTGCTGTCAGGTTCTGCTGGAGTTCTTGCTGCTGTAACTGTTTGTGCATCTGTACCAGCTGCTGCTGATGGGAATGAAACTGCTCTTCTGTGAATCCACCTGCACATGTAAGAACACGGGTGTAAATGTGATGTTCTACAAATATAAGAGGCTTTAAACCAGCAATTTTAAATTTCTCCCACTAGGTGCCAGTAAAGGAACTTTCTTTCTTTTGAAAGAAATTAATGCTTTTCTTCAGCTAGGATGCATTAAAATGACCAAATTGGTAATATGTTTATTATGTTACAAAAGATTACTATTTAAAATACATGCTGTTCATTTGACCTTTCTATTTAAATAATCCTGAAAAGTGCATAACGGTTTCCACAAAAAATATTAAGCAGCACAACTGTTTTCAGTAGTGATGATAAGAAATCGTGAGCTTAGAATTATAAGGTTCTATCTCCACTTTTGGTCGAAATTGAGTTTTTGACATAATCTGATCCATTAGGTGTTTATTAATGCCTGTGTGGTGTTATTTTTGTAAAAAAAA